GGATGAATAAGTTCTATGGTAGGATTCCAAATTTATTTGTCAACAACAGTTTCTTGTCAACTCTCAGCCTAAATGGCAACCAGTTGGAAGGGAAACTGCCACGGTCTTTGGTTAATTGTAGTTACTTGGAAATTCTAGACGTGGGGAACAACAACTTGAATGATACCTTTCCACATTGGTTAGGTGTGCTTCCATCGCTAAAAGTTCTCATCCTTCGATCTAATAGATTTCGTGGTGCCATTAGCAATTCTGTGCCTGCATTTTACTTCCCTCAGTTAAAAATCATTGATGTCGCACAGAATGATTTTATGGGTCTCCTACCGAGTAACTATTTCAAAATTTTGAAAGGTATGAGAGATGTAGCTCCAACTGATAAAGTCAAATTGGAATACATTGATAAATGGGTGCCATGTGTGGGAGATGCAGGTTGCCGACAGCTTGAAAATGATTATAAGGATTCTGTGAAGGTTGTAATGAAAGGGTTACTGGTGGATCTTACAAGGATCTTGACAATTTTCACAACTATAGATTTCTCGAGCAATCAATTGCATGGACCGATTCCTGAAGAGCTGGGAGAACTCAACTCACTTATATTGCTAAACTTATCTCACAATAGTCTCAATGGTCAAATTCCGTTATCATTGGGGAAATTAGCAGAACTTGAGTCATTAGATCTCTCATCAAACAAGCTTGAAGGCAGGATTCCAGAGCAATTAACAAAGCTGACGTTCTTATCAATTTTGAATCTTTCACACAATGAACTTGTGGGCCACATACCTGAAGGGAAGCAGTTCAATACTTTCTCAAATGATTCCTACATTGGGAACTCTGAGTTGTGTGGATTCCCATTGACAAAGAAATGTGAAGAACCAAGACCACCTTCACCGCAATTTGATGAAGAAGAAGACTCTACAGCAGTCTTTGAGTGGAAGTTTGCAGTGGCAGGCTATGGATGTGGACTGGTGTTGGGACTTAGTCTGGGATACATTGCCTTCACTACAGGAAAACCATGGTGGGTAGTGAAAAAAGTAGAGAAATATCAACAGAAATTAGTTGGAAGTTGCAATCGAAGTCATAAGCAGAGAAAAACCCAAAAACCCAACCAACGCTCTTAAGTAAGTTTCTACAACTCTCACTATAATATTTGTGTTGTATATAAGTTCTAACCATAAAAATCATCGCATGTTATATAATAGTGACACTTAATTTTTTTACTTTTGCTTTATTTTATATAGGTGCAAGCAGGTGCGGTTGATTTCCTACTTCCGGGCAGATCTGGCAACAGTTGCTTCTTGAGCTTGTTTCCATCTTTTTCATGTTCATTGTTGCTATATGGTTATATTGACTTGTGTGGGAATTATGGTTATGTATGAATTTGTGTTGATTTCTTTTGGATTTGATCTATCTACTCTGCACGCAGTTCTCGTGTATTTTGTTACTGTACTTTGATCCTTCTGTGATTTTTGCCGATCAATCTCTTCATATCATATTTTATCCTCTTCTTTTGGTTTGGTTGCCTTTGAACGGTGCGTTTCACTGAATAAAAATGAAAATTTCTTAAAATGTGGTGTGAACCCCA